AAGGGGGAGAGGGGAGAAGGGAGGGGGAGGGGAAGACCAGGGAGGGAGGGGAAAGAGAGAGAGCCAGAGACTCCTGCTGGCCTTAAAGCAGCAAACCCGCGGCCTGGTGTGGAGGCCAGGCCTGCAGAAGTAGCTGTGGCCTGAGGCCTGACACAAGTAAGGCCTTTTTTGTCCCCCAAGGAAAAAGGCCCCCAGAGCTGATGTATCTGCACCTCAGGTTCTGCACACGCGCCACACGCGCGCACGCACACACACACAACATCCCTGCTGCTCAGGCTCTGCGCGCACACACACACACACACACACACACACACGAAAAACATCCCAGCCGCCTGGCCTTCCAGGATGTACGGAGAGTGCGCAGTTGCAGGTTCTAGTCCCCCCCTGGGTAAAATACAACACCCCCTAACTGAGGAGGCTGAGGCCCGAGGAGGATCGCAAGCTAGAGGCCACCCTGGGTTCGTTAGGGATACGGCCAGGAAACAGATCACTCAGTCCTCCTCACCTTTCCTTGAGAGGCCGAGGCGGGAGGACTGGAGTTGGAGGCTAGTAGATGGATCGATGCCCAGGCAGAATGGGCTTAGCAGGCAGCGAGTCCTCTCAAAAATAACCAGAGAAAGCGAGTGCCATGGCTCCCGCCTGTCACCCCAGCTGCTCAGGAGGCTGAGATCTGAGGATCGCAGTTCAAAGCCAGCCTGGGCAGGAAAGTCCGTGAGACTCTGATCTCCAACGAACCACCAGAAAACCAGAAGTGGCGCTGTGGCTCAAGTGGTAGAGCGCCCGCCTTGAGTGAAAGAGCTCAAAGTACAGTGCTCAGGCCCTGAGTTCAAGTCCCAGGGCTGACACAAAAATTAAACTCCAGTGGTAGATCATCTGCCTAGCAAACAGGACACCTTGCAGGCAAATGGTAGTGCCACCAAAATAAAGAATAAGAAAGCCCAGGGATTCCATGGCCAGCCGGAGGGGCCCGTGTGGGATGTCTCCACCTAATGACACTTGTAAACAGGACTAACAAAACAATAGGACTTATTTGAATATATATGTTTATTTACACATGAAAAACATCCCCATGTGCCTGTATCTAAATTTATTGATTTCTGAATTTAGAAAAGTGTTTCATTATTTAATAGCCTGGTGAGGAATTGTACCATTTGTTTAAACAAATTTTTTTTTACCCCATCCAACAGGCAAAAAAAGGTATATATATGTTTTCCTCTCCACCAGTAGATGGCAGTCTGTTCATGCTTAATATTAAATTATAATTCAATGGGCTTTTGGGGGGGAGCTTATCGACAAGGGTATTTTGATTTTTCAAGTAACAAAATACATCTTTATATCTAGAAGATGTTTCAATACACATTAATAATAATAATACACATTAATAAAAGTTGTCCTTTTGCTTAGAGTTTAAAACAACTTGAGTTTTGTGTGTCTGTGTCTGTCCGTGCTGGTCTTGGGGTCTTGAACTCAGGGCCTGGGCGCTGTCCCTGAGCCCTTTTCAGCTCAAGGCTGGCGCTCTACCCCTTGAGCCACAGCTCCACTTCTGGATTTCTGGTGGTTCGTTGGAGATCAGAGTCTCACTGACTTTCCTGCCCAGGCTGGCTT